CATCGAGGTAAGTGTTTGGTCTAACCTTAGCTCGAGGGATTAGGAGTTGTGTCCTATTTGCTATGTGCTAGTTATTGAGTACGACGTATAGGCATGGTGACGTGTATCTATACGTTGGTGTCAAACATGCTCATAAGTCTTATATTATGATTAATGTGATTCCGTTTATATTGTTCATGCTTTATGTGATGATTTCTATTGTTGAGCAATGCTAGTAGAAGTGATAGTTGTATTTGAACATTGAAGAGCGTTGGCTCAAGTTGTAAAGTGATTTGTGGAAGTATAATTGACAATTGAACCTTATAGAGCGTTGGCTCAAATTGTGAATTGAGTTGTGAAGTAAATGTGAAAAAGAAAAGAGGATTATGATATTGTCTCCCTTGCCGGGATGTTGTTATTTAATGTTGTCTCCCTTGCCAGGATGTTATTATTGATATTGTTTTCCCTTGCCGGGATATGACTGATGCACTATTGTTCCCTTGTCGGGATTTAATTGTAAATTTGTTGATTTCCTTGCCCTTATTGCTTTGTGATTGTTGTTTAGGTGAGGAAGAGTGTTAAAGCACGAAGGGTGATGCCGTGCATTTTTTTGGTGAGAGAGTGTTAAAGCACGAAGGGTGATACCGTGTATGATTTTGTGAGAAAGAGTGTAAAAGCACGAAGGGTGATGCCGTGCCGCACGATGTACAATTCCGTGCCGATTATATTGATTTTTATTTTGAGGACGAGAGTAAAAGCACGAAGGGTGATGCCGTGCAGATTATATTGATTCTGAAACATGTTTTTCGAGAAAGTCTCTCAAGAAGAGTAAGTTTTAATCAACTTACCTCGCTTTCGCGTTATTAACATTCACAAGCTTTCAACCTTCTTCCATCATTACAATGTTGATTAAAAAGCTCAACATTACCAACAAGTTGATATCTACAATTAGATATCCCAATTACATCAAAATATGACCTAAGATATTAATCAATGTCCCTATATGACTCTTAAATTGGCTACAAGCCTCCAACAACTCAAATCGCCAAATACATTTACAAGCTAGACCATTCAACTTCATCCTTATATTTTAATACCCATTCGAAGTCATTAATGATGCTACATCAATTGTCCAATGCCACAAGTTACTATTCATCATCTTCCATAATCAAAACTTGCACAATATACAATTCGGATGATTACTTAGTTGATCACTTCCATCTTTTGCTAACAATAATTCCATAGGTTCATTGTATTCAATCAATTTCATCACTAAGATTCACCATTCATCTTCTCTATTATTTTCCCAAAAATACTATTCATGCCATGAACTAGAGTTTTATAATCCAATCTTTCAACCAATAAAACTTGTAACAAATATTTCAAATACTTCTAACTACTCATAATAAACGAGTTTGAAGCATTAAAATTACCTTTAGTAGATCAATCTTGAAAAATCACAACTTTGGTGAATTTTGTGTTCTTGAGGCTTTGATGATGAAATCTAGAATTTGGATGTTAAAATGATGTTAGAACTCATGTATATTGAGTAATATCAACTCAAAACATCATTAAAAACTTACCTCGGTTGATTTGGACTAGATTTGAGCTCAAAATCGCCCCTTCACCTCAAGAACCCTAACCCCCCAACACTCAAAATACTCTCTCCCCCGACTTGGTATTTATAGGCCCAGATTTCTGGGCTTCGGACGCGATATGGACGCTATGGCAGCACTTCACTGCCAGCCTTTCTTTCGGAGGCGTCGCATCCGCAGGCTCCTCCGCCTGCCTTTGGTAATTTGGTCATAACTTGTAGGAATATCCAAATGATAAACGGTTTGAAGCGTTAGAAACTAGACTTAAAGATCTTTCATTTCATAGGTTGTCCATCACATATCTCTTTATACATATATAGATATGCTCGTCCAAAGTTAGGTATTGTGCGTACTTATTTGGAACTTTAGTTTACCATGTAATTTCCAATTTGACTTGGACTTAGGGCTATCCTTAGACCCCACATCACTTATAATATACCTCGTACACTTATTGTCATATTCAATTAATATCCATCATATTAATAGTCCTCGTCTGCATATAAAATAATGTAATTAGCACACATCAACTTTCTTAATAGCACTTAAGTACTTCGAAATTTTCCGGGGTGCTACAAATGTATTTTCTCACATGAATAATTATATGTTGCACTTTCAAGAGAGATATCATTATCCACAACAAGAGTTTTGGTTATGACAGAGCAACCAAAGTATTAGAAAAAAATATACACAAAAAAGACACCATCTTTAAATAACTATTTGGTAAGATATCATCACATTAGATATCTTTAAACTACAATACATAACTATCTACTTAACATGACTAAAATTGATCAATTATGTAAGTTCAGATGATGTCCTTTCATTTTGAAGTCACGTATTATGCTAATGTAATAATATTTTTTGGCGTTTAGATGATTGTCATTATATATAAAATTTCTCTCATAAATTAAATTTTATTATTCTTTCATATAAATAAATATTTAAATCATCACGTGCCATTATTAACGTGCAACATAGATTTATAGATACTAGTAAAATAAAATACATATATTTCTTGAAGAAAATGTAATGTATGTTTGTGGTATCTATACATCATAAATCATGTATTTTTTAGGGAAATTCATGTATATATGCATATGTTGTTAATACACGTCTTTATATTTAAATATATATTATCGATCCATTCCATAACAGATTTTTTTTATACATGAACCTTTTTATTCAGCTTAATTCTAGAAAAATTACATATCTGTAAATTCTATTGAAATATATTAAAGGTTTATTTTGATTTAAAACAAAATTGTATAGAAAAAAGTTAAAAACTCCAAAAAAGAAATACTAAGAGCCCGTTTGGACGTAAGAATTTTTTTACTTTTTTCGAAAAAATTTCACTTTTTTCGAAATTAGTGTTTGGCCATCAAATTTCAAATTTTCATTTGAAGAGGAATTTTAAAATTTTTTGAAAAATTGAAAAATTCCAAAAAGCTGCTTTTCAAAATTTACACTCAGTCTACTCACAAAACTTAAAAAATAACCCAAAATTATATTCATGTCCAAACATACCTCTAGTTTTCAAATATCATTTTCACTTGAAAAAAAATAATTTTTTTTTGGAATTTTACAATTCTTATATCCAAACGCCCACTAAAGTTCTCATTTTGTAGAGGAAATTATTTTTGAGATATTCTTCTTTCAGAATCTTTGATATATTTGGACAAGTGTTATTTATGGAAGAGAAAAAAAAAGTATGGAAGAGTAAGGAAAAAAAAATGTAGTAAAAAGTATATTAATGCAGAGGGATCCTTCGTTAATGGAGTTATCAACGTGAAAGTGTTAAAAAAGTAAAAAATGTGCTATTTTTGGAATAAATAAAGCCTACTATCATTTATGAGAATAGTTTTTAAAAAGGGATCAAGCATGTAAAAAACTCAAAAATATACTAATATTTTTTGGGGGTGATTTTTAACTTTTGTCTGCGGAACTCTAAAATCAAATGTTAAAAGCAAACAATACTTGTTAAAATTGAAGTTTTGCACATGACCAAAAGGAAAAAAAATTCAAGACCATCTACTATGCAGGGTATTTGTGTACTTTAACCGTTGAAATCGGGACACAATTAAAACATAGTAATTGTTTTTTGAACTTATAATTGAAAATTGAGGCAAATCCAAAAGTAATTAAAAAATACAAAAAGTTAGAATTTATAACCATTATGAATTTTGAACTAAAAAAAGTAAAATTCTATGACAAAATTATTTGCGATTTAGGACACTGTCATGGAGTTCATGTTTTTTAATCTTCGAAATCCATGACACTATTATGCATGTCAAATTTGAGACAATATCCTATTTCTTCACTTGTTTAAGTTCGAAATTCATGAAACTGTCATATTATTTTTGCATTAAAAATGACTACTTTTCATCGATTTTGTTAACACTGGCTATTTTTCAAAAACTCGTCCGAAAAGGGATAAGCCCATAAAATTTTTACTCCAAAACCTGGGCCTGGATCAACAGTATCCATTAACCCGAATGGGGAGAAATTTAAAAATAACCAGATTTACAACTGGTCGTTCAAAAATAGCCCATTTTCAAAAGTAATCGAAATTTAGCCACTTTTCATGTAAAGATAAATCTGAGCGAAAACACTGTTCAAAATCCGAAAAATACGTAAATATACTGGAGTTCCAGCATATTATACTGGAGTTCCAGTATAAGTATGCTGTAACTCCAGCATAATATACTGGAGTTTCACCAAGTATAATTGTCCAGTATAATATACTGGAGTTTGGAGCATCGGTGCTCCAGTCTCCAGTATATTATACTGGAGTCAGCAAAGCATACCGATCCAGCATAATATGCTGGACTCCATACACAGGTGCACCGAACTCCAGTATATTATGCTGGACCGGTCTCTGTTGCAGCAAAATAATTATTATTTTTCATTGACTTCGTAAACGGCGGCTATTTTTGAATCAGCGGTACGAAAACCGGCTATACCGTTCTATTTTTACACCCGAATGAGGTTCCTGCTCTATCCCATTGAAACCGTAAAACCCCAAACTTTCCTCTGTATCACAGAAACCCTCCCTTCTGTATCCCCATACTTCATATTTTCCAGTAATTGAAAAACTCTTTCCTTTGAAACTGATATTCCAAATGATTCTTCCGATAAATCCAGCAAATAAATTATCCTTTAAACGCTGCATTAAAGATGGAGATTTGGTAATTGTATACGAAAGACATGATACAATGAAAGCAGTAAAAGTCAGTGAGGATGGTGTTCTACAGAATCGTTTTGGTGCATTTAAGCATTCGGAATGGATAGGAAAACCATTTGGATCTAAAGTTTTAAGTAACAAAGGAAGTTTTGTTTACTTGTTAGCTCCAACTGCAGAGTTGTGGACATTGGTTTTAAGTCACAGAACTCAGATTCTTTATATAGCTGATATTAGTTTTGTTGTTATGTATTTGGAGATTGTTCCTGGTTGTTTGGTGCTTGAATCTGGGACTGGTAGTGGATCTTTGACTACTTCACTTGCTAGGGCTGTGGCTCCCACTGGTCATGTTTATACCTTTGATTTCCATGAACAGAGAGCTGCTTCAGCTAGGTAAGGTTCTTAATATCATGTTTATATATGTTTTCTATACTATGTTTGGAACTTAATTTGTGGATTTACGGTCATTAAGTTTTCAATTGTTCTAGCCAGTGGCGGAGCCAGGAATTTATATGAAGGGATTTTAAGAAAGATTACTAGAATGTCACACTAGGGTTTGCATATGTGGCCAAAAGCATATTTTGTACCCCTTTGCCACTACACTAGAATATCTTCTTATGGCAAGGGGATTCAACAGTTTATATATGATAAAAAAAGTCTTTTTGTTCTATTTGCACAGTATCACTTGCTTGAACCTAGCTCCGGCCCTGGTTCTAAGGTGATTTGTGCCAAGCTTTGGCTGGTTTTAAGTGTATCTAGGATCCTTTACAGTCATTCTAGTGCAACATGTTAATTTTAGAAGATGTTTTAAGATTCATGCTGAACACAATTTAGTAGTAGGGGCATTGTTCAAGAGGTTATAGAAGTGTGAATCCTTTTTTTTTTGACTCAGGCTGTTTTACTAAGGAGACTGTATTCATTGGAAATCTTCTGTTTGCAGTTTTTTTTGTGCTTGATTAAGATGTAATTGGGTTTCAAGAGTTAACTCTAGACGGTAGAAACCTAGGGCAACAAACATCTTCCCCTGCAGCCTCTGTGATGTGAAAGTGTAGAACTACCACCATCATTGTGCACTAGTGAGCAAAGGTTTCAAGAGTTAACAGAGAAAAATTGTCCAACACTTACACTTAGTTCAAACAAATTTACAAAAGCTCAATTATGTATGTTTACTCTAATAAAAACTCTATCCCCATGTTGAATAGCGTGGACAAGTTGAGAGCCATCACTATAGATCAACCCTTCTTTGCAATACCATACAATCTCCATTAACTCCTCAAGCTTCACAATTCTGTGCATCAGACTATTGTAAGCTCCTGGAGCAGTAGGTCAACAGGTGCAATGCTTTCAGCAGGTGTTGAGACTCTTAAGTCCACTTGATCTGCAACAACAGAGAAGAAAAATACCGGCCCTCTTTACTTATTCTGTCTAGAGAAAACATCATTAATCACCAATCTCAAAGCAGCATGACAGGCAGTATGTCTCATAGGATACAACAAATTAAACTCTTACCTGAATGAAGATGGGAAACTGTAGCTGGACAAGGATGGGCAATTAAAACATTGTTCAGTGTATAAGGCGATACAGTTGTATTGAGTTGAGGTGACTGACATCCTTGAGATTTCAGTAAGTAGCATGATTTTCAAGGATGTCATCTAATAGCTGAAAGTGAATTTGCTTTCTGTGAGTATGAAATGATAAATTTGTGTTGGGAGTTGCCCCTTTTATATGCACTTAACTGCAAACGAGAAGGATTTAACAATACTTCAGCTGAGCCAAGTCAGTATTAAGACAGCTAGTTAAACAGTAATATTGACAGCTTACTTTCCCAAGTAGAACTAAAACATGACCACGATACAACGAGAAGATATGAAGGAACATCATTATGCTGAAGCAGACTGTTTCCTGATTTTTGAAACCACAAATTTTATGTTTTTTTAATATCCATGCACCATACTCTGTGCTCTGTGGTATTCTGAAATAAACAAGTTTTTAAACCTCAGCTTTGCAGGGTGTTTGTATGATAGCTGAAGTGTGTAAAGTTGCTTTGTTAGTTCAAAAGATGATCCATAGACAGTTTTTGAAGATCAGTAACTAGTTAACATCAGCCTTTAGTTTCTTCCTAAGAGTTCCCCCAGTGTAGTTCAAAGAACTAGTTTCTCACCGGTAGTAAGCTTTCTTAGCTAGTGATAACGAACCTTAACATAATAGAACAGGATCTTTTCGAAACTTCAAATGCACAGTTGGAAGGTATTAATAGAAAATTAACTTTTTGCTCTTTTAAAAGTGCAAAGTATAATCCAGTATGGGAGGACTAAGTAATTGAAAGTGACATAACTGTTTGACCAAAAAAGTATGAGACCTTTTTTGTTAAACTAATTAAATAAGAAGATAGAGGGTAAATCCTAGTTAAGGATAATTAATTCTAGATATGAGATGAATAATATAAATAGAAAAACATAATTGAGTATAAATGCTGGAAGTGAGTATGGCCAAATTTAATAGCATAAAAAAAGTGCATTAAGTAACATTAAATGGCAATAAAATGCAAATAAAGGAAAAGATTCACCCAATCTTGAGTGAGACGGATCCTCTTTCATTTGATAAAGATGAATGATAGACAAATACAAGAACCTTAGTACCCTTGTTGGATCTGATGGAAGGTATGGGATCACAGATCCTCTAATCTCTTTAGAGATGTGTTTATCTATTTTCTAGAGAGAGAGTCTCCCCCTCTTGAGAAGTCCTTTCTTCCTCTTCATAAGGGGTATCCCTAGAAAACCCTAAAAAGTACAATTAGAGGGAATATCCAGTAGAATATTC